AAAAAAAAATGTGCAAAATGATGTAAAAATAAACTTTGTAATAAAAAAAAAGTTAAAAAAAATCATTTTCTAATTTTTTTAAAGAGCATACGCAATGGTATCCCAGTGAGTTCCTTATTCAATGCCAAATGATTCACAACTAAAATATTTCTAGTATATGTGGCATGTGACAGTTATAAGAAAACCAGAAAAACAACAACAAAAAAATATAAACAGGTAGATAAAGTCCAGTACAGGGGACAAAAGCTCAAAATTTTAAAAAAGGAATGAATGGCAGGATAAGAAAATTATTTATTGAAATGCCTAAAATAATTTTATTAATAATTACTCATTCTTTTTATAATTACTCAAAATTTTTATAACTGATAAACAAAAAAACACTTAGGTAGCTTTGAAGATTAAAAATACTCACCTGTTACTTAGGAAGTTGAGAAGATTTCTAGGACTGATTCCTAATGTTAATATAAAAAAACTAAAAAGTTCCAAAAACAAAGCAAATACTGCTTCAGGTTACAAAACTTGTATTCACAAATGATACCCACATTTCTGAAAACTTTAGTGGATGTTAAAGAACACAAAGGGATGCAAACATTAAGTAAATTTATTCTTTCTTAAGTCCAAGAACATTATGTTATGAGCAACTATATCAGCTGACCATATACTTTTCCAAATTCATTTCTGTGGGCCTAAAAAATTCAGTACAGATAAGGTAAAATTGGCATATGTTTTATTACCCACTAACCTCATCAGCTGAACTAATGAGGTTTTTCTGGAAAATAGACTTTCTTTGCTTTCAGTGGCGAAGTTCAGCACTCAGTTGTGATTTTTGCCAAGAGATAAAGGTATTCATCACCAAACCTGTTAGGCTGCAAGTTTTTTTTTTTTTTTTTTGAAAACAAATTTATGGTTTCTGAAAAAGAAATTGTTAAGTTGTAACTTTTTAGAGGCAGGGAATTTTCTTTTAAAAAGAAATTTATTTTATTTATTTATACATACAAGAGTTGGGGTGTAGACAGAGGTTAGGGAGGAGTGGGTAGGAGATGGAGAGAAGAGTGGCAGTAGTAAAGAGGATTCACAGGAGACAGAGTAGGAAGCAAAACAGGTTGATCCACTGAAATACACTGCTGAGGGGAGCAGTGGATGAGACAAAGAGAATTCTGCCATGCCAGGGAGCCATGCCAGCTCCCTGGCCAGAGATAAAACTCATACTGCAGTGCAGCTTCATAGATTTGAGACTTAACCCTTTGAGCCACCAGGGAGGCCCAGGGAGTTTGATTTTCATTTTTAAGTCTGGAATGCAATTTCACTACATTTTAAAAGGAGTGAAATTTCTTTAAGTTTTAGAAGGTATTAACTTTACTAATCTTCAATGATCATTATAAAATAGTATATTAAGGACTGTCACAGGATTAGAAATAAGATTTACATTGCCCAAAATGATCGCTGACTGTGTCAAGATTTAATCTTTACAGTCAATCTCAATACAGTGGTAATATAACTCAAAATTTTAACATAAAACATAATAATAAACAACATCACTCCTGAAAAAAGCAAATTATTTTCCTATATATAATTTCTGGAAAAAGTGTACTGCATAAGTAATTTTCTTTCCAATGTTATTTCCCTGCATGATAATAAACATACCTAGATTCAATTCAGACACCAAATGTTAAGAGCACAGGATTCCACTTTAGTTGAAATATAGCTTCACATAGTCAACATGTTGTATCAAGGCACTCTAAGAAGTCTCAGACACTAAAAAATTTCTCATTTACAGATCTTTTAGGCACATTTCCTCTCAAAAAGCTAAACTGAACACTGTTAATTCTGACTTTTGTTCATTTTTCAGTAGAGTTCTCAAGTAATTTTTCTTTTATTTGGAGCCACTCCTTCATTTTCAACTTGCTGAGCAGGCAGGCTTTTGGTTTCCATGGAAACTGGATTCCTGCGGCTATGAGCAGGCACTCGTTTTCCACCCATCTAAGAGATGATGCAAAGAACAGAACAGCTTATGTTTTCAACATATATATATATATATATATATATATATACATATATATATATGTAGTGAATTCCCTTTTTTTTTAAACATGTATTATGAACAGTCAACTATATATTTTAAATCTTCAGGTATCTGTAGCTGCTTTTAAACAAGGTTCAATCTGACAGATTTTTAAAGTATAAAACTTTCAAGTAACCAGCAGGGAAAGGAATACATAAGGATTAATGAAGAGAAGTGAAGCTTTATTTGTAAGAGTTTGAAATGTTCAATTAAAAATAAGGGAATGACAGGCTTTTCAAACATTGTGTTTCCAATAATGAAGTTGAAGGGCAGGAAAAAAGGAAAAAAATTAAAAATGTGAAGAGAAGAAAAGGAAAAACAAGAAGGTTAGAGGTGGTTAAAGTGAGAAGAAATTACAACATGGTTAAAGAATAAGAAAACCAGAAAAGTCCGAATGAGAACAAGGTAAGAAAAAGAATAAATATGAAAAAAAAGGGAAAAGAGAAAAGAACAACTGAGGGGACAGAAGAAAAGAAGTAAAGAAAAGGAGGAAAAACTGGAAGGAGACTTCTCCTTCAGGAGATGAGAAAATAGAAGTGAAGTGGGCAACAACCTTTGATGGAGTGCTTCTCACACTGTAATTATCTTGTGATTAATAAATAGGGCAAATGTGGCCACCAGGGTGAAACACTGTATAATGTGAGACAAATCAATAAACAACATAATGGAACACTTCATTTCAAAATAAAAATCTTACCTTTTGTTGTGTTGCAGGATCTAATGGTTTAGGAGGAAAAGTACAAGGTATCCTTCCATGATGGATATGATAAGGTAACAAGAGACTGGGATCTAATGGAACCCAGGGAACTGAGAGGCTAGAAGGCACACCAGGAAGACCACAATGTGTTTTATGTAAATTGTATGCTGTCCTACTAAATTTTCCATCCGAGGTCTTGTAGATCAGGAGGGAAGAATCTTCTGCTGCATGAGACAACAAGTAGGAACCCTCCTGCAAACTAAACCCACACATGAAACCCATTGGCTTAACTGTGACAATTTCAATAGCATTGTCTTACTATCATAATCTACTAGAACAAATAAGGGAATGGAATACCACCCCTAAAACAACTTTTTATGATCAAATAAGACTTGAAAGTCTTTTTAAAGTCTTCATGCATTTCAGACAATTAATTTTAATTCTAATCCCAATGTGTAATTATTTTCTTTTTACTATATCAACTTGTAAAACTCTAATAATTTAACGGGAAACAGTCTGCCTAATTCTCTAATACATGGACAACATATACTGAAAAGCACTTCAAAGTATACAGATACAGCATTCCTATAAGCAATTTAATTCATCTAACAAACACTGCATCTACCTTTCTTCTAGTGATAGGTAAAATAAAAAGTCAATGCGTAGACACAATTACTATATTATATAATTTAAAATAAAGAGACAGAAATAGTCAATAGAATCACAAATACAATAATGTGCTGACACAGTAACAATAACAAATGACAGGTAATGAATACTGCTTACCTCCATTTTGTCATTAAATCCTCCACTACAAACCCTCAAGTCAGAATTAATCTTTAACCATATATTAAAGAATAACAGAAATTACGGATGCTACACAATTTATTCAGAGTTCTGTGTATAGGTTTTAGATATACACCCAGGCAGTTGAACTCCACAGAACACAACCTTAACCATAATCCTCTACTGTCATATTAATCACTTCTGTCAAACATCAAATCTGTATTTTTCCCTCTCCCTAGAAAGTGTTAAGGAATTCTGTGTATTAACATAAGGAACAGGAAGGACATGATTAATAGTCATGGAATTTTATAGTCCTGTAGCTCAGAAAGACGAAGGCGAACATCAGTTCTTTTCCACAATATATCATTAAAAAAAAGAATCAAACTTTAGTTATATGAATCTGCTTATAAATCTGTTTCATAATGATGATGTCAATAAGGAAACTGATATCAAGCTGCATAAAAAGAATTTGAACTTTAAGATTTCTGACTTTTAGTTCAGACAACTGAACTGTTTTACCTTTTGTTGACAGCATAACAGAAAGAATGTAAAAGCTCATAAAACACTTAGATAAATGATGTGGTGGAGGATTCATATTCTAAGATTTGATTTGGATCTAATAACTTCTATGTTGCTTCCTTACCCTGAAAATGTGGACAGTTACATAGTTAGCTGAAAATGCTAACCCAGATATCCACATGCTAATCTCCAGAACCTGTGATTATGTTACCCTTAATGGCTTTGCAAATGTGATTAAGGATACAATGTGACAACAGAAGTAGAGATCTGAATTATGTGCTTTGAAATGGAGGAAGGTGCCACAAGTCAAGGACTACAGGCAGCCACAAAAAGCTGAAAAGGGCAAGGAAACGATTGTCCCTTCAGAGATTCCAGAAAGAACCAGCCATGCTGACACATTATGTTGGGCTCTATGAGAATGATTTCATCTTTCTGATTTCTGGAATTTACAGAGAATAAATGTTTTTTTTTTTTAATTTATTTATTTGTACATACAGAACTGAAAAGAACTGGGGTACAGGCCAGAGATGTGGAGGGTGAGAGGCTTCACCAGAGACAGAGTGGGGAGCAGAACAGGCAGATCTACAAAGTACACTGCTGAGAGGAGCAGCGGGCGGGTCAGAAGAGGTCTGCCACGCCATGTGGTCACCTCCGGGGCAGGCGGGAATCGAACTCATGTGGAAGTGGCTTTAGCTTTAGTGCTGTGCTTTAACCTGCTGCGCCACCAGGGAGGGCCCAAATGTATGTGTTTTAAAGGCACTAAATCTGTGGTACTTCATAAATACAATCAATCGTACAATACAATCATAAAGAAAACTGTAACTGCAAGCTCATTAAAGACAGATACTGTTTTAGTGACATTTTCATATTTGGCACAATAGATAAAGTCTCCATTTCAGAGTTATTTTTTATCTACCCCCTACTAGCACATAGTCAAAGTTTCTATGACTGTTCATCCAAGAAAATTGGATATATTAATGCAAAATGTGAAAAAAAAACTTACCTACTTAATTTCTTTAGAATGTGCTGGAGGATGTTAAATAAACTTGAAATCCTATTAGAAAAAATTCATGTAAAATTAAATGACAAAAAAAACTTCCTCTTAACAATCAACTTCAAGAAGAGAAATGGCCTCAATAAAAATACCAGTATTTTACATTCAAATTGTAAACTTTCAAACTGTTCAGATGTCTTTTAGCAGTACTAATATGCAGAAGAGTTTCTTTTTATAATGGTATATTAGCTTCCAAAGAAAGTGAGAGGTATTTTAAATGTGTAATGTTAGAAAAGGCTATGATAGGAGAGAATGGTTAAAGAGAAATGAAAAATACATAGATTTTTTTTAGTAGCTATTATAGATCTAATTTCATTCCCTCCCTTTTTTAAAAATTTATTTATTTATGCATATAAGAACTGGGGTACAGACCAGAGGTGCAGGGGCAGAAGATTCACCAGAGGCAACAATGGGAATACAACAGGGGTAATGACTGAAATACACTGCTGAGGTGTGCAGCGGGCAAGATAGGAAAGGTCTGCTGCACATGTGGGTCCTCTCCCTGGATGGAGAAGGTATTCATGGCTGCAGCAGCTAAGGATAGCATCACAGTACTGTGACAACTTCTTGCGCTACGAGGAGGCCACCATTCCCTTTATTATTTATTTAAAAATGGTTTATTTTGGGAAAGGTGACACAAGTAGAGAGCAGTGTATGGGAAAGGTTTTTCTTTTTACATATGTAAGGATAAGTTACCACTCATAAGAAGCAATTATGATAAAGAAGTAGATGATTTTAAGGAAAAGTAGAGAGCTCAAATTTGAATTTGAAACCCTTTAAAATCATATTAAACAACAAAGCTAGAACTTGCAGTAGTTTAAAAAACTACTATAAAAGGACACTTTCTCATCCTTAGTGGTAAAGCAAACATATTAATTACCAAGGCTATCACTCTAGCACAGCCATGTGCTCTGGGGCAAGTAACTCTTAGTTCCAGTTTCCAACTAAGAGCTAATACCCTCAGTCCTTCTGCAAAAGTTGTGAATGAAAATTAGACAATATTCGTAAGCTATTTTTCTTGGAATTTAAGTAGTTAAGAGTTCAAGATACAAAAAATTCATTCAATTCTGATGTACAGAAGAAGGGTAAACTTGGTAGTTAGTGCAAGGGTAAACTTTTAACAGGTAAGATGTCCAAATGAGTGTATCCCATTCTGAGAACTAAGAGTCTATATTTCTTAGCATCACACATTCAACCAGAAGCTAAAAGTCAAGATTTACATAGAAACTCATACACGTAAGCAATGAAAAATGAAATAACCACCACTGAAAAATGAACAGATCTGGATGCACACTTCTCCAACAAGATATACAGACATATGGTCAACAGACATTTGAAAAAAATGGTCATCATTATTTAATAGGAAAATGAAAATCAAACCACAATAGATACTAACTTACCCTTGTGAGAAAGACCTGTACCAAAACAACAAAAGAAAAAAACAGAGGGGGTGTTGGGGGAAAGGATATCCTGAAACTACACAACTACAAACTTTATATACTCCACCCCCACCCCAGACCAAAGAGATCCCAGGCACCAAGGACTACAAATCTCATAATGCTATCATCACTGAAAGGAAGATTGCTGGGAATGGAGGGCGGCATTAAACAGCCAGTACTGGTATAGAACGAGACATGTGGGCCTTGAGGGTCTTAGTTTTTTTGCTTGCCTTTAGCATGTCACTGGGGTTCCAGCTCAATGAAACTGATAGGACATATTTACTAACTTATCTTTTTTCCCAAGTTACTTGTTTTTACTTTCCCTTTTTGTAAATAGACCCTTTATTATCCCTTTTTGTGTGTAACTGCAGTTGAGTGTCATTATAAGTCACTTTTAAGTGTACAAGTGAGGACCCACACTCAGTTCAGCACATTTCACACTGGGGTTGCCCTGTAAAGGGAGCGGGAGCAGAGGGAGGGGCAGAAACAATAAGCGATGGAAAGAAAAAAGAAAAGGAACCCTAATACACTGTTGGTGGGAAGGTAGTCTGGTCCAGCCTCTATGGAAAATGGAATGAGTTTTTCAAAGTATTAAAAAGATTGGCCCTCCCTGGTAGCGCAGCGGGTTAAAGCACTACACTAAGAAGCTTAAGCCACTTCCGCCTGCCCCGGAGGTGACCACATGGCGTGGCAGACCTCTCCTGACCCGCCGGCTGCTCCCCTCAGCAGTATACTTCGTTGATCTGCCTGTTCTGCT